TCATGCCATTAGGAAGGTAGGAAAGTAGGTGCATGAGTTAGTATTGTACAAAGAAGAAACAGTTTCTCCTAGATGAGGAGGGTATGCAGACTTAGAAGACCCCATGAGAGCTGTTGGCCATCAGTAGGAGTATAATTCTTGTGCATTTTGCGTCTCAGGTCCCCAACCTTACAGTTGGCCACCTCCTAACACAGACCAGACAATCTTTGCCCCCCAATAGGCAGAAAACCAGAGAGAGCACTCCCTGTGGACCAAAGTGAAGCTCTCAGGACAAAAACGCAAGACGGAAGGAGAACCTGAGCTGGTTTTATTGGTGACTCCACAATAAAATTTGTTCACATGGACGTGGGTTCAGGGAGAACCACAAACTCACTGGACTGTGAAGCGAGCTTGAACAGGCTTATAGGACCTATGACTGTGTCCGACCCTGTCATTCTCCTTCTTCAGACAAACCACTGTTAAACAGCACAACACAAACACACACAAAAGAGAGCCAAAAAAGGTGAAAGAGAATGGCCTGATTCCACCTAGGGCGCCAAATAAATGGAAACCAATAACAAAACCCAGGTATCAAACGAGAATAAGTAGCTGAGGAACTCAACACAAAGGGACATTCAGAGCCAGTGCAGACTTATCACATCAGTGCAAACTCAACAAGCCACTCACTGCAAAGTGCAAGATGCCTCTATAGCAGCCATCCTGTTTGAAAATGGGAGTCCACACAGTAGGCAGTGCAGATGGTATCTTGGTGGAACCTCCAAAGAAACTAAAGACATTAATGAAGTCTGCCTGGATGAGAACAAGCAGAGGCTGTTTATTCAGAGCTCACTATAACGAGGGAGTCAGTCGCCATCATCACTCACATTCATCAGAGCCTCAAAGACAGGCAGGGGAAAGAAAGACTGATAGTGACAAAAAGGGAATGCTCAGGTATGGTATGATTCAAGGGTGTTGTCATAGGGAAGCTGGAAGCAGGCTAATCAGAAATGAACATCCTGTATGATTAGTTTGGGGAACATATTTGGCTTTCTCTGACTGGTCCTAAGTTGGAATCTGGAGCAAAAATTAAGGAAGCTGTCAGTTATTGACCAGGTCCTGACCACTACCAGTCAACTGCTGCAGAAGCTGTGGTTTGGCTTCCCAGGCTGGTTACTGCAGCAGTTGTGGGTCAGAGTTCTATTTTTGTATATGTCCTGGCCAGAGTTTATATAAAATTTCTAGAGAAAAATATAAGAGAAAATATTTTTGCCTTGGGTTAGGCAAACAATTCTTAAAGATGACGTTAGATGAACAAAAGAATTTTTTTTTTTTTTTTGAGATGGAGTCTCCCTCTGCTGCCCAGGCTGGAGTACAGTGGCGCTATTTCGGTCACTGGAATCTCCGCCTCTTGGGTTCAAGCAATTCTCCTGCCTCAGACTCTCGAGTAGCTGGGATTATAGGTGCCCGCCGCCACCCCACCTGGGTAAATTTTGTAATTTTAGTAGAGATGGCATTTCACCATGTTGACCGGGCTGGTCTCAAACTCCTGACCTCAAGTGATCTCCCTGCCTCAGCCTCCCAGTGCTGGGTTTATAGGCATGAGCCACTGCACCCGCCCTAGATGCACAATAAATTTTTTCTAAATGATATATTGGACTTTAAGAACTTCTCTTTCTGAAAGACACTATTAAGAGAATGAAAATATAAGCCCCAGCCCATCAGAGGAGGGGGCAATAGAAGGAGCGAGAGCATCAGGATGGTGCTAATGAATGCTGGGCTTAATATCTAGGCGATGGGATGATCTGTGCAGCAAACCACCATGGCAACACATTTACCTATGTAACAAACCTGCACGTCCGGCACAAGTACCCCTGAACTTAAAATAAAAGTTTAAGAAAAAAAAGAAAATATAAGCCCCTGACTGGAAGAAGATATTTGCAAATTACATAACTGATAAAGAACTTGGACATAGATTACATACAGAACACTCAAAAAGTAATGATTAAAAAACCCAAATTTAAAAATGAATAAAAGACTTGAATAGACAATTTACCAAAGAAGATATATGGATACAAATAAGCACATTGAATTACGCTCAACATCATTAGTCATTAGGGAAATGCCTATTAAAACTTCAGTTTTACACATCTATTCATCTATTAGAATGGCTAAAATGACGAACCATACTAGTTGTTGGTGAAGATGTGAAGGAATGGGCATCCTCATAAACTCCTGGTAGGGATCTAAAGGGGTATGACCATTTTGGAAAATAATTTGGCAGTTTCTTAAGAAGTTCTGCATATGCTTGCCATTTGACCCAGCCATTCCACACTAAAGTGTTTACCCAAGAGGAAAAAAATAGGCATATGTCCATACAAAGACTTGTACATGAATGTTCATAACATTTTTATTTGTGAAAGCTATAAACTGGAAACAATCCAAATGCCCATCAGCAGATGAATGAAGAAGCCAATAATCATTATCCATAAAATTGAAGACCACTCAACCATAACAAAAAGGAAAGAACTATTGGTACCCACAACGACATAGATGAATCTGAAAACAATGATGCTGAGTGACAGAAGCCAGACATAAAAGAGTGTATATCATATGATTCAATTTGCCATGACAATAATACTGGAAATGATTTCTATTTTCTAATTGTATAGAGTAGTCCTCCCTTGTCTTTGGTTTGGCTTTCCATGCTTCAGTTACCACAATAAGCTCTTGTCCAAAAATATTAAATTAAAAATTCCAGAAATAAATGATTCATAAGTTTCAAGTTTCATTCGGAGTAGCCTAATGAAATTTCATTCCATCCACTGCCTCTCACCCTGGGACATGAATCATTTCTTTGTCTAGTGTACTCACCCTGTATATGCTACTAGCCCTTAGTCACTTGGTAGCCTTCTTACTTATCAGATCGACTCTAATATTGCTTATATTCAAGTAACCCTTATTTTATTTAATGGCCTCAAATCTCCAGAGTAGTGATGCTGGCAATTCAGACATGCCAAAGAAAAGCCTTTCTTTAAGTGCTTTCTTTAAGCGAAACAGTGAAAGTATAGGAAAAAAACATAGTAGATACACAGTTTGGTGCTACCCATGGTTTCAGGCATCTGGTTTCAGGCATCAACTTAGGGTCTTGGGACATATCCCGTGGTTAAAGTGGGACTGCTGTAAACACCTGTGAATTTTTACAATCAGGCCAGGAGTCAACCACAGCATTTTCCTCTTCTTCCTCTTACATAGAAATAATAAAACTGCTTATTTTCTTAAACAAAAGAGTTTAAGTCTTGTGACATTTTTATGGTGGGGGGAGTTCAAGCAATTCTCCTGCTTCTGGCTCCGAGTAGCTGGAATTACAGGCATGTGCCATCACACCCAGTTAATTTTGTTATTTTTTGCAGAGATGGGGTTTCACCCTGTTGGCCAGGCTGGTCTCGAACTCCTGACCTCAAGTGAACTGCCCACCTCACGCGATACGCCCACCTTGGCCTCCCAAAGTGCCGGGATTACAGGCATAAGCCACTGTGCCCCGCCTCTTGTGACATTTAAATGAAAGTTTCTGACACAGGATGTTATCACACTGAATTGCTTGTCTGTTATCCTGCCACAGGGACTCTCACTTCCCATCAGACAAACAGATTAGGAATCGGTTTCTTTTTCCCCTACAAAGGCAGGCACTGACTCCGCCCCCTTCTCACAGGGCAAGACCAGACAAACTCAAGCCACTGCTCTCACGTCCTAGAGGCTTGGCTCTAAACCACCGCCCTCCCACCCGCTATTGGTAGGGGAGGGGGAGAAACTATTGAAAAGTTTCCCCCATCCTCCCTCAAGCATCCCCTCCTGCCTGCATTAGTGCCAAAGGATCCCCTTCTGGTACAACCGAGACCCTTGAGATTTCAGCACCCCAACATTTTTAGTGACGAAACCATGAAAATTCTGATGAGGCCCTTGCTTGTTTGCACGTTAGCTACCCGCTTTTTGCCCAATATTCCTTTTTCTAGCAATATAATTATAAACTTTCGATGCACCGTTTCTTTGTCAAGCAGGAGGATATTGCCTCAGAGTCATAAAAAATTTTGCAGAAGGAATGAATGCCTTTAAGGGCATTGCGACCAGCTGCTGACGCCCAGAAGTCCAGTGGTTCAAGGTGTAATCTGAGACTAAGAAATAGACATTCCCCCTAGGTTCCCTGAAAGTCCCCCTCCCTTCCTTCCTAGTCGCATAAAAACTCCCCGCTACTTATTTTTGTTAGGGTGGATTCGAGAGTCTTGCCCTCTTGCCTTCTCGCTTTGGCCAAATGGAATAAATCTTCCTCTGTCTCCAAGCACCTGTGTGTCAGTGTTTGGCATCAACAGCACATCTGGTTCCTGAGCCTGAGCCTGAATTTGGGCTTCTACAACTCTGGCTCCCGGGACACATGCAAGAGGGAAACGGAATCACACCTTAGTCTCAGCCACTGCGGACAGAACCCACAGGGGCTCTAGTTAGTCAATGTATGGGGGATACAAGGCTTCGTGGGCTGCCCTAGTAGCCTGCCCCCGTTGTTACAGTTTCAAGACTGACGTTCCAAGCCAGGAGCTTATAGGCAAGCCTCTGGAACAAAGCCTCTTGTAATAGACTGGACATCGGCCCTATTTGCCCCCAGGCCACACCCATTTATCTTCATCCTCGGGAGGATGTCCTTCCGGCTCCTGAACCGTGGGGAAATGTTGCCAGGCTTGGTTTGGCAAGATTTAGGCTGTGCTAGGTCGGCGCCTCTCCCTCCTCCCCAGCTCGCCCCGCGTTCCGAGCCTCCCCAGCTCCCGAGTCCTCCGCCGCTAGCTGTCGTTGGAGGTGCTCCTGAGTCAACAAACTAAATCTCCCCAGCGGGAAAGACGCTCTTCCGGCAGCGCCCAGACCCGGGGAGCTGCAGTCGCCGCACCTTGCCTTCACCACAGCCCCATAGGAGAACCCGCGCAGACTGGAGGAGGTTTGGGGAAGGCCTGGGCAAAGAAGCGCGGGGGATTCATTACCCGCCGGGATTCTCCTCTGCAGCGCGTCTCCCTCCAGGAGCAGGAAACGGAGCCTCCCAAGTCCAGAGCAGAGAAGATGAGCCCGCGGGGTCCCGGGCTTATATCAGCTGAGCTACGTGACACCTCCCGGGGCGGGGCATCGTGCAGGAGACAGACAGAGGGACAGCCCAATCGCATCGTTACGTGGAGCGGGAAGCCCACTCCTGAAAAGACAACAGCCTTGGTAAACTTTGGGTGAACTGGGGAGAACTGAGGAGGGGAAGCGCTTTGTTGCTTCTCTGTGTTTTCTATTTTATTTTATTTTATTTTTAGATTTTCAGTTCTTATTTCACCCAGGGAAGCAGACCTGGGTATCCACCCCCACCTCCTCCAGAACCTCCCCGAGCCCCCTCGGAGTCTTCCTGGGATGCCACAGGCTTGGAGAGCTCTCCGCAGGTTTCTCCGCCAGCGCCTCCAAATCTTTCGATTTCTACTGGAATTACACAGTCAGCTGCTCCAGCTCTGTGCTGGAAGGAGGGCAAGGGGTATGGCGAGACTCGTTGGTAGATGGGGCACTGGAAGGAAGGGAAAGCAGAAAA